CTCTCTCTCTCTCTCTCTCTCTCTCTCTCTCTCTCTCTCTCTCTCTCTCTCTCTCTCTCTCTCTCTCTCTCTCTCTCTCTCTCTCTCTCTCTCTCTCTCTCTCTCTCTCTCTCTCTCTCTCTCTCCAGTAATGTGTCCGACTCGCCCTTTTAGGGCTGAGTTCTCTCGACTGATCGCTTCCCTGTCCGGCTTAGTTCTCCTCGACTGCCCACTTCCCTGTCCGGCTTAGTTCTCCTCGACTGCCCACTTCCCTGTCCGACTGAGTTCTGTCCAGTCCTGTCCAACGGTCCTTATTTATAAGTCCCCAGCCCATAGAGATTCCTTCCCAGGTCTTTAATCTTAATCCCAAATCTCAGGCACTTAAATTTTTCCAACGTCTAATTGGTCATAAATCCTCAGCGTAACGGTCGTCCAGGGGAAATCTGATACTCTACTCCCTTTGGTCAGTTGATCGGTTACCGTGCTGTGGGATCTGATACGCTAGACCCTTTGATCAGTTGGTCGGTACCTTGCTGTGGGATTCCCCTAAACCCTGTCGCACCCAGGTCCGAACTCTCCACATAAGAAGGATGTGATTTTGCCAAGCAGACCATGATAGAGCTTTACAACCACTAGGCCTAAGTTAGAGACCGGCCGAATTTCGGCTTCGGTTTCAGCGCCGAAAGTGGCAATTTTATCACTTTCGGCCAAGTTTCGGGTTCGGCTGAAACTGAAAAATTAACTTTCGGCTTAATTTCGGTTTCGGCCGAAAGACAAAAGTTAAATTGCATATTTACAGAGAACACACTGCTCGGTATAAATAAATTTCATTAAAGGATAACCGTTCGTACGTAAATTTTATACTCGTGGAACCAATCCAAATGCTTTCTTTACTAAAAGTTCAACGTTGAATTCATAGGGTTAGATCTAACAAAATAATGTATTGCAAAATTTTCTAATATCTTTTAATAATTAATTTAAATTTAGTAAAAAAAAAATGATAACACCAAATACATGGAAACCATGAAATACTCGCCAATTTGTTACTAGCGCTACCCCTTAACATTTGTTGTATTTTGTATAGTGTTCTGACTGTTGTTTTTGAACTATCGTAAGTGATTATTTTGTTAGTTGTCTTTAACACGATGCAATAAAAAGCAAATTTATTTTTCAAGATTATTCTATCATGCCGTACTCATGCTCAGCATATCAATAACTAATCAACATGTAGGTAGGTGTGTTCACCTTTGCCTAATCTGGGCTATCCAACAAACGGTCAGACACTTTGCTGGGGAGGGGGGGGGGGCTCAGAGGTCATGACCTTAATGCTTTAATTCGCGACTATATTTATTGAGCATAAACCGGTTTAAGGCTTCGATATGTAGATCCTATTTAAGTTGTTAAAGATTGCAAGAAGGATGTGTCCTACAATAAGAGTCTTCAAAAGCAATTTTCTGTAGTTGCGAGTCACTGCGGAAAAAAAAGACTGCATGTAGGCTAGTTGTGGTAGCATGTTTTTATTGCCCCATTTTAGTGTGACAATTTTGCACTGCTGCGTTAAGACTAAGAACGTAAGAGAAAGAGTGTTGGAAAAAAAAATAGAGATAGTAAGATAGGCCTAGGTTCTCAATTTATATTTTTCATAGTCATAGGTCATAGGATAAAGCGTGATTTCGAAAATAATTATTGTGTAGGCCTATGTTGACATAAGCTAAATTGAAAACAATGCATAGGCCTACAGTGATCTCGCGATTAGCTCTCAAACTTTTCTTAGGTGAGCCCTGCGTCTAGCCTGCACCTCCCAGTAAAGTTTGAGTTTTTTAAAATGTTAAACACATATGCGAAACTAGGAGATGGGCACCCCACACCCACCCCACTTTTTTGGAGGGTTTAAATGTGTTTGTCTTGGACAAATCATGGATCGACCCATGCTAGTCGGGTCATTAAGAATCCGCATGACACGAGTGACTGATTGACACCCCGTTATAGTCAAGGACAAGCATTGTGTTCGCCCCTTGTTAGCTACTTAGATACTACAATTCGCTGCTAAGACGATGCCCAATAGACAAGAGGTCCATTGTTGCATAATTTACACTATGCCAAGGATTGCATTTTATTTTTATTGTGTTAAAAGAATAGATTGTAATATACAGTAGCTTTAACAAGAGAAACGGAACAATTCAAATTGAAATCATGCGTGATCACAAGGAACTGGCCAATCGCATTACAGTAGGCTCAGTAGGTCTGTTATCATATGATAACAAAATGGACCTTGTCATTACAGTAGTAGGGCTATTATGATATGATATGATATGGTAATAAGGGGAGAGACTGCAATTAGGTCAGCACAATTCTTTTGCTGCACCCTCGATACCACTTCTCAGCGAAGTGCTATTTTTAAAATTTTATCCTGTTTTTTTCTGTTGTTTGTTCGCTGACGAAGGCTTCCTGCCGACACGTACGTTGTTTAGTTGCGTTCCCTTTTTTCGGGTTTGACTTTTCTTTGTTTTACTCATTTCCTATGATATGATAGCAAAATATGCCTTGTCATTGTAATCATAATGGCATCAGAAGTGCATAGACGATGGCTCTTTTACACCGGGACTAGTTTAGATAATTGGGATAGGAAGAAATCAGTAGCCTACATGATTTGCCGCATTAAAATTTGCTGAGTGTACATCAAGGTCATTGCAAATACCGTGGCCTATTTTTAGAAAGTGATATAAATGAAACAAACAAATGACAAGTATGTCTGTGACAACCTTTATTACATTAATCAAACTTTGTCAACTACTTGAGGATTATATACAGTTTTAAACCGTAAACTCTTTCTTTTTCATAGCTGGATTTTGACTTAATTTGAAGTTTTGAATGAACAATAAAAATTGGATGTTCATAATTAGTGTAAAACTATAATTTAACGAAATAGTGTTTTATTTTTTTTTATTTTTTTATTTAATACAATAAAATGTTATGCGAAGGTGGTCTACCAGAAATTGTTGTTTCACGTAATTTTTCCCCCAATAAATATAATTAATGGAACTGTTGTAAACATAAATAGAGAGTCCACCATAATAAATACAATGCCTTCAAATGATTTAAGGTTTTTGGCCTGTAACAGTCTCATATGTCAATTCAAAACATTTGAAATAGAATTGTGACTAGAAACTAAGTAGCTTTATTGTAGCCTACATATTATTTACTTTCAAGCTTACTAGCCTAACATCTAACTTTCAATCTAACTTAAAATCTAACTTTCTAACTATTTGGTGACCTTTGGGTTCAACAGCTGCCTGCAACTCTCTCCTTACTTAAACTTTGCACCCCTCCACCAAGTGTGTTAACTATATGTGGTCAGTGGCTGGTCAGTAGTGAAGAACGCATCAAGGAAAATGGTAGCTCCTTAATTTCATAAATCATAGGAAATGAACAGAAATGGGAACATGGTACCTTTATCTCTCTATAGCCTTTAAGTTCTTCATTGGCAATATTGCTTTCATCTTTTATGCTTTGTTAGGGTTCACCCTTATAACTTATGGAGTAACTTTGTTGAAGCAGTGAGTAGCATAATTATTTCTATTGAAGAATGTAGGTTGGTCCCATTTTAATTCCACAACTCATGTGCTGGAGAAATATTGAAGAATTTAGATTTGTCACATTTTTTTTTCACAACCCATAAGCTGTAGAAATAGTGATTTCTTTATCTAAATATTAATCTATGTTTTGATAAGATTGTGTGAACACCACCACATCATTTTAAATCCTCCAGATACAGGAATAAACCAGACTTGTGTTAATACAAGCCTTTGGGTCAAGGCTGCATGCAATACAAAGTGCTGATTCTCAACAAATGGGACTCCTGACACAAGGAACACCTCTGTCCTGGGAGGACACCAAGAAATGGGCAGATCATGTCAGGAAGCATGGCATCAAGCAGTTCCTAGCACAGTACAAAAAGTTGATGTCAAGGAAGAAGGATGTGCTGTACTGGGGTGATGAGGTAAGATAGAAACCTTTTGAAAAGTTACCATATTAACCATTAATAACCATATTAATCAATTAAGCATTTTAAGAACACCCACTCCCCCCCCCCCTTTCTCCCTCTCTCTCTCTCTTTTAGACTAAAATCCCTAATAAAGTGTCAGATTTCATAATTTTCTCGCTCTCTCTCTCTCTTCTAGACTAAAATCCCTAATAGAGTGTCAGATTTGCTAATTTTAGAAAAGAAAAAAAAATGTATTTTAAATGCAGTAGTTGTATATTAGCCTAAATATAAGGTAGGTCTCTCAACCTGTGATGCTCATCCTGTTGACTATTCAATGAAAATTTTCTGCTTTTATTTTGATATCAGATTGAATACACTCTAATTAAGTTTGACCACACCAACAGAAAAGTGTATGTTGCCTTAAAAGCTCAAGATATTCTCACGAGGCTGACAGAGAACTCAGAACAAAATTCTAAGTAAAATATGTAATCTATTTCATATCCATAGTTTAAAAAACATATTTTCCAGAACTTGTATTCATTTCAAAATTATGTATATTTTTAACATAATAAAATCAAATAAGTAAATATATATGAGCTCATTAATAAAATTGTAAGTTGACTTGAAAAACAAGGTCTGTATATTACACAAAAATAAGTAGGCTATTTATCTTTTTCACAGTCCTCCAGAATCAACATCATGGCACCCGGAATATGCATCATATCAAGTTGAAGGGACACCTGGCAAGCCTTATGGAAGTCTCATGGCCCATTTTAATACTGTAGAAGCAAATATGTCTCAAAGGTAAACTAAGTAACTCATCAAAGCACAGTATTTATATTTGTCTACAAATATTTTTAATAACTTTATATAAAACTTGACATAAAGTGATATGAGCTATGTATTTTCTTCAATTTAAAAGATTTATGATGTCCAATGAAGACATACAGTCATACTTTTTAAATAGGTATAATTTTTCAATTCCTCAATTTAGAAGAAAAGAAATTCAAGATCAATTAGAAGAAGATGAAGCTCCACTTTCACTTACAGTATTTCCAAGGTAGTGTGAATGGTGAAATATGGTCCAAAATATGAATATGGTAGGTAATGAAATAATTAATAAAATATATTCATGAAGTTTTTAAGAGAAACAAGCACATTGTGTACTTTCTTAATGTATCAGTATTTTTATTATGTGTAGACTTTTAAGATATTTTCAAAAGATTGGTTTATGTTAGAAATAAGAATATGGTGGCATATTTTTTAATTATTCATTTTTCCTAGACTTGGATGTGGGACATTTACCTGGCCCATTGCTAAAACTAATCCAGTAAATGGAATATCAAGGTCACTGTTTTTCCCAGATGAAGCCATTAACCAAGGGCATGTGAGATTCATGTAAAATTGATTTTTCATTTTTATTTACAGTCAGCCAATTTTAACTGTAAACAAGTTTTTTAATCACTGTTTTAGCTCAATCTCCTATACCTATTTTTCTCCTGGTATGTCCTGCTTCCTTTTCACAACCCGCCCTCCCCTGCTCAACATGTTAATATTAATAGTACTTAGTGAAAAAAAGCTGTCACAGAACTAGCATCATGCATGACCATTGAACTCAGGTAAAAAGGTTCAATTTATTCTTTGAGGGGAGGCAACTATAATAATAATCAATAAAGAACCATGGGAATGGTGTAGGACTGTCTTTAGGACTGTCTGTAGGACTATTTTTTAAAGGCTGGCAGGTAGGGTGTAGGACTGTTTATAGGCTAGCAGGTAGGGTGTAAGACTTTCTGCAGCATATATTATAAAAAATGAGAAGTTAACTTTTTTTTTTTTACATTTGGAACCACCTGTTATTTTCTCAAAATAACCAGACCTGTTGTAAAAGAAACCGCAACCAGTTAAGCTCTAAATTAAAATAATGTTTCATTTATATAATTAGGAGCGTTAAATAATTCCTTGCTTGTTTTTCCAATAATATCCTTCATTTACTGTTTGATCATATTGTATATTTTATTCTTCTAACTGTAGTAGCAGAAATATGTATTTAATTAGAATCCTTCTAACTGTACCTAACAATGGAGATAAAAATTGTAAGGCTATTAAAGGATGAACAAAAACAAATGTAAAATATTTCACCTAAATCCTATATCTTTAAATGAATACAAACTACGGAAGGCTTATACAGCCACTTAAATATACAGTCAACACATTCTACTTCTACAGGACTGTGACTAGAAATTGTCGACTTCGGAGAACTGAGAAGCAGCTTATCAATATACCTAGTACGTTTTTCTTTGCTTTTACCGTAATGCCTTACATTATCATTAGATGTTGAGTAAAATTACTATAATATAATTTAATAATTCACTGAATTGATGATTGATATTAATGGTATGAATGCGGTTATTTTTGTGTGTTAGGGGGCATTCATACATGACATCACGAAATTTCGGAAGTAGGAGTCACATATTTTTGATGATGTTTATTAGGGTGTCTAAATTTTGTAATTATGATGTAGAGAGGGGTTAAAAAGTCCCCCAAAATAGCGTGATGTCATTAATTGAAAGCTCTCTGATAAAATTTCAATCCTGTTTGAGTGAGTCATCAGTATCATTGTTAAGGTATTATCAGTTTAAACCTAATATCTTGCAATCAATATTCTATTTGATTTAAGTATACAAAGACATCAACACTAAATCCCCGTTCATAGAGGATTTCTCAATACTTGGAGATGATGGAAGTAGTGCAGCTGCTGCCAAACCTGACCACATCTACATGGACTGCATGGGCTTTGGCATGGGCAACTGTTGTCTGCAGGTCACATTCCAGGCTTCTTGCCTAGATGAGGCGAAAACACTCTATGACCAGCTTGCTGTTATGTGTCCTATTATGGTCAGTGTGTAATTACCATCACATTCGTTTTTTAAATGTAGTGGTGCTCAATGTTCCCTCTAAGGTTTGTTGGTTCGTATGCAAAATCATACAGTTGTGTGCAAAGTTTTACAGCATCAATTTTTTTGTGTGCAAAATTCTAAAGCCCACAAACACAAACACACACTTACATGGAAATTTGCTGCGCGGATACTCAAAACTGCTGCGTGTCCTCTGTGAGATAGCTGCATGGCCGCGCAGCCATGTAGCTTAAAGGGAACATTGGTGGTGCTCTAGTATGTCTTCATCATAGCCACCAAACTCTAGAGAATAATCATGTATAAATCTTGGGTTTTTTTTGGTACTAATAAAATGTATTTTTAATAAATCCATTTTGATCAATAAAAGTAGCTTACCCACATAACTAAGCTTTACTCTTCCTTAATACCAGTTACATAAATTTGTTTAACTAAGGAATTTTGTATGTGTTTATAATGATGTTATATTTTCAAGCAATGTCCAATGGTAATAAATTAGTTTCTACTGACATAAGTTTAGTTTTATCTCTTGGGGCTTTAGTTAAAGTATGCACACAAATTTTTGATCCAATGCTTTTAAATATAAGTAGGCCTATGCCTATAAAATCAACATAAAACTTAGATGGTATATTTTAACATTTATTTTGACAGCTTGCTCTAAGTGCAAGTTCCCCAGTGTACAGAGGATATTTGTCTGATAATGATACACGTTGGCCTGTCATGGCTGGTGCTTGTGATGACCGGACAAAAGAAGAGCGGGGTGTGGAGGTTAATAAAATTGATGAAGTGAAAGAGTGCTTGGAAGACTAGTATTTTTAAAGAAGTTGACATTATTTGTTCTAATTTTAAAGAGTAAATACATTGCTAACATAAATAATATATTATTAGTTGTTATTTAGTTTTGAAGATAAAAGAAGTTAGTCTAAATATTTTGAAGGAAAACTTTCCAATTTAAAAACACAAGACAAATATTCTCTTAAAAATTATAAATGGAATTTGCTGCATAGATTGTATTTTGTCCATAAATTTATAATTTTTATGTTTAGCCACTTAAGGAGAACCAGTATAGAATAGCTAAATCACGCTATGACTCTATAGACAGTTTTATCTCAACTTTGGGACAACAATACAATGACATCCATTTAACTTTTAACCAAGAAATCTTTGAGGAACTCATAGCTGAAGGTAAATTTACTTTAAATTACCTTATATATCATATCTGAATGTTGCACTTAGTCGAAAAGGCTTTAATTTTTTCCAATACAACATCATCTCTGGTGTAGCTAGAGCACTTGCCACCTGGTGTCTGCCATCATGTCTGGTGCCATGAAAGGGAAAAATTTCACAAAAGTATCTGGAGTTGGTCATCTAGTACCACTCTTGCATCCAGTGCACTGTCGTAAAGTGGATGGTAGCAGTTCTGCCTGCTTTCCTGAAAAAAAATATCAATAAGTCTTAAAATAGCAACAAGCCCAATCTGCTGCTATATGTGGTGGTGAGGCTTAAGATGCATGAAGGTTCATAACCTTTGGTGCTACTTGAAATCATGAAATATTTTGTTTGCTAAATATTTGAGGACTCATAAAGACCTGAATCAGATTAGAAAATGCTTTCCTTTTTTTTAAAAAAGCTTTTAATTCATGAAATGGTGTTGCATTGTTGTTTTTTCTTCAACAAATAGTGGTCCAATCAGACAAATATTTTTCTTTCAATAAAAAAATTTGACTACCATACTGATTTTATTTTCATGAAGGTGTGGATGATCTTTTGGCCAGGCATATTGCTCACCTCTTCATCAGAGACCCAGTCTTAGTGTTTGCTCAAAACCTGGATCAAGATGATGAAAATGACACTAATCATTTTGAGGTTTGTTTGATTTTTAATTGTTCTCTCAACTTCAACTAAACTAAAAGAAAATTCCTCGTCTATCTGGGACTCAGTCAGTTGCTTGTAGTGAGTGCCACTGAAACTTGTAACAGCACTGACTTTATTGGCCATGATCCTAATTATGAATACCTATTGGGTACAAACACAAACAAAGAAACTTTTTATTAAGAGTACATTGTTTTGGTGAATATCACTTCTGCTTTCATATCCTTTGTTGTTGTAATGGTTTGGCTGAGTAAACATGGATCGGATGACGTTAAATCAATTGAGAGGAAAATTATTCAGAGTAAATAAATTTTATTTTAAAAACTATATTAAACCTGCTTAACTTACTGGAATCGAGTTTAGAAACAACAAACATGATTTTGGAACCAACCCAAAGTGGTAAAAGAAGGTGGCAACCATGAGCAAGCTACTCTCTTAAACTAAAATTTGAACATAGTCCAAACTAGGAGATGGTGTATNATATATATATGTATAATTATGTCCATTTATTGGTTAAACTTTAAAAAATTGAAATGAGTTGATGATAGCCCTTTCTTAAAAACTTATTTTAAATACACTCTTATTTATTAACACTTTTTATATATTTAATTTCTTGGGAGTGGCTTAATTTTCAGAATATTCAATCCACAAATTGGCAGACTATGAGATTCAAACCGCCACCGCCTAACTCAAACATTGGCTGGAGAGTGGAGTTTAGACCAATGGAGGTGGATATCAATTGTAGTTTTTTAAAATTGTTTAAGTTTATATTGTTTTTTTTTCCTTCTATTTTGGGGGGCATAAAAATTGGTAAAATTGATTGGTGCAAACTATTATAAGTTAAAATTTACCATGTGATTCATGCTATCACATGATTTATGTGTTTCAGGCTCAGCTGACAGATTTTGAGAGTGCTGCATTCTCTGTATTTATTTTGCTGCTTACACGAGTCATACTCTCATACCAGCTTAACTTCCTGATTCCCATATCCAAGGTGAAGATGAATGGGTTGTGTAAAATACTTATATTAGTGTGTAAAGAGTAAAGTCTGTTGTCAAAATAGTAAACAATGAATTTATATAAGCTAAAGTAACACATAATGTTACAGTTTATGTAACAAATATATTTTATTTGTCAACAAAGTTTTGTTAATTTAAGGGGATGACATGGAAGGTGTATAGTTCTTAGAAACTTCTTAAAGTTCTTAGCAACTATACAAATGATAAGAATGTAATGAAAAATATCTTTATTTAAATCTTCATTATTTGTTTTAAGCCCCCCTCACAATAGAATAATTTAAGTATTTGCTTTTTTTAAAATTTCAAGTGGGCTTTTTATTTTATGTGATTATTTTCTTTTGCTTGTCCAGGTAGATGAAAACATGAACACTGCTTTTAAAAGAGATGCTGTCATCAGTGACAAGTTTTTCTTCCGTAAGAATATTCTGACAGGTGAGTTGTAAAATAAAACATGATATATAATTATAATTATGTTCTAAATTGCAATACATGATGTAGTGAATTTTTTTAACTTAAAACAATAATTCTCATAGCTTTTTACTTTTTTTAAAGCTAAAAATGTGACAAAACTTAAATTACGATGTAAAATATCATTGAATAGCTACACTTCTTACAGTATTCAGAAATAGTTTATATATTGGTACCTTTCCGTGCCATTTCTCCTGGTACGTTTTTATTATAAGTGCCCCAATCATGAATAGTATATTGGGAACAAAGTATGTTGCAAAATTATTTTAACCTCAGGAGTAGGGCTATGGCTATAAATTAATTTCATAATTTTTATCTGATGCATTCTTTTTTTCAGAGTCCTGCAAAAATGCATTGAATGGATTTGGCATTACTGATACTGATCCAAATCAGGAGTATGAACTAATGACCATCAATGAAATATTTCATGGAAAGGTGACATCTCTTAATGCTAGCAATCTTTTGCTTTGAAAAAATATTTGCTGCAGAAAGAAAATGGTACTGATTGTTAAGTTCAGGGCCCCAGATGGAATAATTAGTCCACGACTGAATGCCCTCATAATTATTTTCAAGAGCAAATGAATTTCAATTTTATTTGTTACATTTTATTTTAAGAAAATTAAACAGATGAATCAGTTTCGCAGAAAGTCAACTCTACTGCCAAGTATTAATTCTATTTAAATATTTATAATTCATCTATATAGTTGGCTCTCCTTTCCTTTATTTAAAAAGATTTGTTTAAATACATTTTCAGGAAGATTTTCCTGGCCTGCTGCCCCTGATTGATTCATATATAGACAGCATTGATATAGATGTAGATACAAAGTACACTGTCACACATTATGTCAGACTGATATCACTGAGGGCATCAGGTACACAAACCTATAAACCATTTTTTTTCTTACCCTTTGAAATTATTCAGTTAGAGCAGCAACATTTAGAAGCATACAAAATTGATTAAGCTAGATAAGCAATACATAAGTCAGTAATTTTCATATTTAATTAATTACAAAGATACAGTCCAATGAAATATTCTTAAAAACAGATCTAAAAGGTTCCAGGTTATATAATTAAAAAATTTAGTTACAATTTAATGTTGGTTTCCTTAGAATTACTTAAATATAATATACAACTATGTCAAATGAGTCAAAGAGACTTTGATCCTGTTCATTTTCTGCTAAGTTATTATTACAATAAGAGATAAACCCTTGAGAAATTTTAAAAAAAATTCCTGATTTTCTCAAAACTTGAAATTTGGGTTCACGGAGTCACGATTTTTTTTTTAAAAGGGGCTCCACAAGTTAATTACAAAGCTAGTTTTTAGCAGTTACAGATAATTTCAAAAATTGACTAGGATTCTTCTATGTTGAATAGCTTTAATAATATTTTGCTGTAAAAATGAATTTTGTTATGGCAAAAATTATTTCCATTTAAAAAAAATTGTTTCTGTAAATTTAGCTAATTAGTTTTTTAAAAATAATTTAACTAATTTGCTGATTTAAAAAAAAAGAGCTATCCATTAAACCCGAATTTCAAGTTTTGAGAAAATCTGAAAAATTTTACAAAAAATAATTTGTATTTTTTCGAAGGATGTTTTTCACAAGTATTTTTTATGGGCGATTTTTTGTTTAGGTCATCTACAAACTACAGCAAAATGGATCCGCAACTTTGTTTTAAACCATCCTGAGTACAAGCAAG